TCTGTCTCTCACTGCGACAGTCGGCGGAGCCGGGGCGCTGCACGAAGGCCCTATCTTCGTACGAAACGCATCTTCCGTGGGCTTTCCGCGGTGATTCCCGCGGAGCCGCCCCCGGGTGCCTCCTCGCTCCCACGGGCGGGCTCGGCGCGGAGCACCGCGGGGGCCGCAGACGCTCTGTCCCGTTGCGCAGCCGCGMACAGCCCTCGGTGCCACCCGCGCTGCGGAGTCGAGCTGGTCGCGAGTTTGGCCGAGGGGCTCCCTGAGSGTGCCTACCCAGCCCCGCAGTCTTTGCTTGTGTTCTTTTGGGTCATCCCAGTAACTGAGCGGCGGGCCGAGCCGGGCGGCTGGGAGGGGACCGGCGTGGCTCCGGGGCCGTTTGCCCGCAGCAATCCTCCAGGCGGGCATCGGTGGCGGGGAGCAGAGTTCTTCTGCAAGCAAAAATAGGAGCAAGAKGTTTACCACCCTGAAACTTGCGTTCTTTTCTCCGTCTCCCCCCAAAATCGACGGGCACCCATTTGGGCAAAGAGGGACCGAGCACAGTTGTTTCCATAGCATGGATCCGACAGCAGCTTGTTACCTTCGGAAGTGCCGTTTTCCTACACACACGTACACACATTCATGTGTGAATGTCTCCTTCACATCTTCGTAGTGTGTCGCAGAAAAGGGCAGTGAGTGAGAGACAAAACGGCGGCTGGTCCACGTGACTCTCAAAGTGGGGGTTGCAAAGGAGAAAGAACTTTTAGAGAAGGGCAGAGAGGCCTTGCAGTCACCTGCAGCAGGTGAGGGCTGGGGGCAACGGAAGGCGGACGCAGAAGCCGAGCSGACACCTACCTGGTAGTGATGTGCCCAGCCGCGGGCACTGGGCGGCCGGTACCCGCCGGTGCCCGGGTTCTGATGGTGTTTGAGGCCCGGCGCCGAGGGAAGCGGGGGAAATACCGCTGAGGGTGGGGGAGCCACGGTGAACAAGCTGAAAAACGGGTCTGCATTGGTTAGCAAGTTCCAGAGAGAGAGCATTTGGCCACGATCATAATTTCTATTATTTGTGTCAAATACAATATCAGAGACTATTGCAGTACTTACTGCAAGTACTGAAGGAAAGTGTTACATACGGAGTGGAGTCTGCGGGCCRTGCCAACGGACAGTTAAACCAGATCCACTTTCCCACAGACAACCCAAACAGGCCTCAGTGTCAAGGGGGGTGACCGTGCGCTCTGCCCTCGCCACCAGCAATGCAAGAAATGGAACAGCTGACAGTAGGTGAGGGTCTCGCCTCCTCCTTCATCTTCCGGACTTGGGGATGGGGCCAGCCCTGGGTATCTGAAACCAGCCTGCAAGCATGGGATGTGCACCCCGCTGCCCCCAGTAGAGCTTCTAACCGCTCCTAAAACACAAACCAGAGCGAAGGTGTGGTCCGAAGGAGCTATGGGTAGGGAAGGTTTAGGCAGCTGCAGGGCCAGGGAGATGTGCACGGGAGACACGGGGCTCGGCTGGACCCCCATGCTGCCCGGCCCGCGCACAGCCCAAGGCGGTGTCGACATACCGGGCACGATGTCCAGCCCCTCTGCACAAGGCAGAGGGAGAGCTCTAGCGAGAGGGGAGCAGTTGTGGACGTGCAAACTAATCATCTTCAAAACCAGAGAGGGAAGGGCAAACGTCTTTTATAGGGGATGTGGGAAGGGACCTAATACAGTCCTTCTTAAGGAAAACGTTATACAAGATGCTTGAAAAGAAATAATTTTAAAAAAACCTAATTAAAAATATATAAATCACCCATCAGAAACAAAGAAATATTGTGGAAGGAAACGTTTCTGTATAGAGACGCTGTGTGTGGCATAAAAGACGATTGAATACATAAGGACTTCATTAAATTCCCAATAGATAACATTTGGCTAAATCTATCCCTAGATTAAAACTCCGCATAATAGCACCATAAACTAAAAAGTTTCTTTTTGTGTGGTCCTTCTGGATGAACTGATTGAAACATTAGCCCCCTCGTAGAGGAATCCCCTCCCAGTTCAGATCCAGTAATTCGTCTCTCAGCCCTACGGGATATGATGAGCAAGGAGACGGGTTAATGAATCCACACTTTGTCTCTGGGAGGAGGAGAAGGAGGCGACACTATACTGCATATCCTACCAGATTGTTTATTAGAGCTCAGACTATTTTGGAGGAATTGTTCGTCCGGGCTCGGTCCTTGCGAGGTCTAGACTGYTAGCCTCCCTGTTGGTCTTGAAAGCCGCGGAGAGCACAGCGGGCCATTAGCATGCGAATGGGGCGCTGCGGCCCGACAGTACTCCGAGCTCATCAAAGGGCTGTGGGGCCAGCGCCTTTTCTGGTGTCACCTGCTCCGGAACAGCAGCGGGGAAACAGGCACCCTCGGGACCGGGGCCGAGGGTAGGCGGCTTCCCAGCGGACTCGAGGAGAACAGGCAAAAGTGTGCTCCATCAGCACCCCAGACCTCTTCCCCGACTCCCTCTTCCTTAAAGAAAAACAAGAAATCTATGCGATGTACTGCAATTTGCTCCTGTCAGCTTCCCTGACAACTCTCAAGGGTAGGCCTTGTCCGGATGGGATGCAGGCAATCGGCAACAAGCGTGGAAGGAACAAGTGGCCAGGCAGTTTGCTTGCCATATACCTCTGAGGAGACCTGAGGGATGGGCAGCGGGCACTCTCGGACCCCGCCGCCCGCCGGGCTGGGCCGGGCCAGGCTCTGCGCAGRGGAGGTCGCCGGGTTCCCCAGGGTCTACTGAGTAGAAGCCAAGAGAAACAAACACAGGGTGGGTCGCCGGAATCTACCCTTCTCGTGTAACTGCTCGTGGAGAGCTCTAGGACTCGAGAAGTCAGAATCCAGACTGAGGGCCTGAAGCATCCCTTCCCGGGGAGTCTCGCACCGCCGCACGGTCACAGCTGCCTTTCTCCCCCGCCAAACCTGTCCCTGCTTGATTTTAGCTGCCTCTTCCAGAGGGACCTCTGCTGAGCTCTGTACTCTGCGCTGCACCGGCCTGTCGGCCCGGCACGTTCCTCGGCCGGTTCCGGGGAAAGTGAATTAATCGGTCTCTCGTGAAAAAGACGCGCTGTCCCCGAAGGATAACGTACACGGCGTCTCTGGGGTATTTTCCCTTTTGTTTTAGAAATGAAAACGGGCTTTACTTCTTTTTCTGCTAAGGAACCCGGGACACCCAAAGAGGCCTTCCAGCTGCAGACTGCGAATGGAGCCCAGCAGAGATCTTATGTCCAGTCTTTTTGCTTTTTGAAACCCACTATTTTAACATAGCATTGCTACAAACAAAACGGAGAAGCACCACTTTTCTGTCTATTACTTCAAACCAAAGCGACAAAGTACTTCTCTATGTAAATCCCCTTCTCACTCCAAAAAGCATTAAAAGGCACCCCTCCCTTTATTTTTTTTTTTATTACGAAAATTCACATAATTGATCCCCGAGTCTCCTAAATTGCTATAAATACAGTCGTAGTTGAAAAGTACCCCCCTGGTTTGAAAAACGCCTGTTTCTAGCCCACAACAAGCATTCACACGCCTACTCTTAAAACATGCGATTCTGTTTTCCATGTCTATGCTCTAAATATTTGAGGCCGGCTTTTTGGTCAAATTTTTTTTTTAGTCTATTGAATAGATATCTATTGACCTTACGTTGTTACAAGCGAGTGTTTGGAATCAGAAAATCTACTTTTATGGTTTGTTTTGTACACTTAAATATTCTTACTTCGACAGATTATACACTTAATCAACTCGTCACACGAGGATATTACAAAGCTCATTTTATATTTTATGTATTGGAAAGTAGAAACACATGCTATTATCGTCACAGAAACATAAGTGTCTAGAACAAATCTCTCTTAAGTTTAATGCATGCCCTTTATTAGTAGTGTTTTCCTTTGGGCTTTTTGGAAATCAAACTATGATGCAGTTGTGATTTAAAACACACCCAAAAGTATAAAAATAGTTTTAAACCGGCTTTTAAATGAATCCCCTGATTGGTGCCGTACAGAACTGGGCTTTACTTCCTTGAGAGAGACCTATTTCTATTTATCCCCTCTTTTGTCCCTGCTGGCTTTTGTAGGTTTTGTTTTGTTGTTGTTTTTGTTTTGTTTTGTTTTGTTTTGTTTGTTGGTGTTGTGGTGTTTTGCTTTTTGATTGTTTGGTTTGTTTTGGTTTTTTTCATCTTTCATTATCTGCTAGGGTTAAGAATGCGTTGACTGCAAAGATAATATTTTGATTTTCTTCTTTGCGGTCAAATCAGGACATAATAAATTTCAAGTTACAATATTCCTTTACTATTGTGCTATTAATCCCCAAGAAAAAATTATCAGTGTCCCAAAGAAATGAGAAGTGCTAAAGAGGGGGGATCCAAAGCCAATCGTTTGGCTGGGGTCCTTTAGTCTTTGGGTTTTGTTTTGATTTTTTTCTTTTTTCTTTTCTTTTTTTTTTTGAAAATTAAAAATTTTATTTTTGAAAATGTGTAAAAATTTTACATTAAAATGGTACAATAATACTTGCCAGTAATTTTTAACAATATTCCTTGTAAAGAATACGCATAAAGTACAAAATAAAAAACTCCGTAAGTCTATTATAATACAAAACACAGGTTAAAATAAGAAATGATAATCTTGACTTTCTTCTGTGTAAACACGTTAATCTTTTCTTTTATAAAAGTACATGAGACAAGTGTACTAAATGAAAAAGTATTGCTCTGCTGTCCTCCCTCAAGCCTTTTTTTCCTCCTGTACATTACTGTTTTCAAGTTCCTAGACCTGAGAATCTCTGAACTTTAACGGTTTAGAGACATTATTTATCACCATTTTAGTTTCTTTTTAAGGACTAACGAGTAACTTTCCGATGTAGTGATCGCTTGCCCGTGCAGTATCTAGATCTAGACCTGGCTTTGCACTAGTGCAGGTCCCGGGAGGTCCGTCGCTCGCGGCGGACGCCCCCCGAGCCCCGTCACAATTATCCCCACGCAAAGACAGGCAGCCCCTGCGGGCGGCGTCCGCCGGGCGTCCGAGCGGCGGAGAAAGGAGATACCCCAGATCCTACCTTCGGAAAGACTCCCAAACACTTAACAGTTAGAGATCCGTGCCGCGAAGCCGGGGGCGGCGGGCAGGGCGGCGGCGGGGGGCAGGCCGCTCCCGGCGTTCCCCAGCGAGCGGGCGAGCCCCGGCGCCGCGGTCGACTGCGAGGCGCAGCTGCTGCCCGCGCCGGGGCCGGGGCTTCCCCCGATGATGCTCTCGATGGAGAAGGGCGAGCGGGCCAGAGCTCCGCCGCTGCCGGGCTTGGCGGAGTGCAGCGAGGCCGCCAGCGCCGGGCCCAGCGGGTGCGCGTAGCCGAAGGGCGTCCGTGCCAGCTCCGCCGCCGGCAGCAAGGGGCCCGGCGGCGCGGCGGCGGCAGGGGACAGCGCCGCACCGGGGGCGCTGCCGGGGGCGGCGGAGGGCTGGCGGGGCGGCGGGGAGGGGTGGTGGAAGGCGAAGAGGGYGGAGTGGGGGTGGTAAGGCTGGAGCTGGAGACCGTAGCCGCAGCCGTAGGGTCCGTAGGCGCAGGGCGGCTGCTGCGGRGGCTGCGGCGGAGGCTGCGGGAGGAAGGCGGCGGGGTCCACGGCGCGCAGCAAAAGCTCGGGCGCCGGGAGCTGCTGCCTCTTGAAGCGCTTTCGGCGGCGCAGGAAGCTCCCGTTGTCGAACATGTCGGCGGATTCGGGGTCCAGCGTCCAGTAGTTGCCCTTTCCAGGATTGCCGGGCTCCCGGGGGATCTTGACGAAGCAGTCGTTAAGGGAAAGGTTGTGGCGGATACTGTTCTGCCAGGCGGGAAACTTCTCCCGGTAGTAGGGGAAGCGTCCGCTAATGAACTCGCAGATCTCACTCAGCGTCAGCCTCTTCTTGGGGCTCTGCAGGATGGCCATGGTGATGAGAGCGATGTAGGAGTAGGGCGGCTTCACCAGGCTGTTCTTGCCGCCGCCGCTGCCCGCCCCGCCAGGCGAGCGGCAGGAGACCCG